TCTCTAAAAACTCATTCATTCACCTCTCATTGCTCTCTCAACAATATTGTTAGTAAAGCACAAATCATGAGATGTGTTTCACTAGCTTTAACCATTTGGTAATATTGGCCAGCACGTGTCACTGACTGTTATCATGGAAACGTAACTCTTATTTTAGAGCGGAGCCCTTAAGATAAAAGAGTTGTGACAGTGAGTGGCCAAAAAATGGCAGCGGGTCACATAGGTCATGTAGCTTCAAATAGTTCCAAACAGCAGATCCAGATCCACAGTTTTCTGTAGGAAACAGCGGGGTTTATCAGCAAATTACTACTTTTAATGACTTGTAGAGCCTTGCAAACCAGTTCTGTTCTGTTGTTGCAGATAGCTCAGCTAATTTAGCTGTTAGTCAGTACAGTATATACTATGAGCAGCTTGTGGCTGATGTTAACGCTTCAGTCAACCAGTAAAGAAAGCCACAGAGCAGTTATCAAAGCTCTGATGTTTATATTAGGTCCCAGTACCCTTTAGTCATGAGACTATAGTGCAAGTCTCGGCCATGCCTTGTTCTGTTCTGTCTAGTTGATTGAAGAATTCGACTCCATGTAAATAGCTTCCCAGCACTGGATTATGACTTCAGTTTCATTTCAGTGTAGTGCTGCACCAGTACCCAAAGAAAGGTCTGCTTTCCTTGGGTCTTCTTTTATTTCACCACATTACAATACACAGGATGAAACTGAAAACCAAGAGAACGAGGGGCATTGTCATATCTCAATAATAGTCCATTCAGGTTGAACAGCTAGGTAATTCAGAGGAACACATTTGTTGGAATTGCCCCTTAACTTAATAATGATGGTATTATCATGAGCCCAGACCTGTCATCAGTGTTGCAGAGGTGCCACTCCAAGTGGAAAAGCATACAATTAAAATACACAGAAAGAGAGAGAGAGCAGACAAACACACACACACTCACACACACACAGGGCCCTGTTGTAGACATTCCCAGGCAGTTAGGGCTGTACTCAGGCTCACAGGGGAATTGCCAGAATAGGTTCCACATGGTTCCTCTGTAACCATACCATTCACACAGACACAGGGCTATACATGAGGTAGCATACTATGCACATACTTTGCACATGCGTAGAGGTTTGCCTACACACAGACTGTGCCAGAATGCAGTCACTCCGATACAAAGGCTCCCAGTTGATGGAGGGTCTGAATCAAAGATGTTTTTCCAAATTACCATGCAGCAGTCACTGCTGCTGGCACAAAGCTTTCACTACAAATGTATGAATCAAATTTAAGGGGGAAAATTAGAAGAAAGTAATGCATACTGGTGAACAAAGGAAACTACTGGTTTAGACTTGTTAACAAGTTGGTTATGAAGGGGTCTCTAAGTCTAAGGGTACTTTTACTGCCTTCAGATGTCAGTAGATTCTATTCCTGATATAACAAAAAATACAGCAATAAGACCAACACTTTTGGTTCTCTCTCTCTCTCTCTCTCTCACACACACACACACACACACACATACAAATACAGCTTTTTACCAGTCGTTTTCTCTCCTCTTCCATGGTGCTCAACAGCTGAGAGAACTCCTTTAAGGACTGAGCTGTAAAAAATAATTACACACCTTAAATGTGAGAAGACTGATCATATTTCACACATTTCACAGGCTCAATGCCCAGTTTTTTATTTCATTAGAGACATTTTCATCTCACCTATATTAATCTCATCGTCGGTCTCAGCATCTCCAATACATTCAAACTGGAAATCCTGTAGAGACTGAGAGAACCGCTGAACAGCATGAGAAAGACCTGGGAAAAACAAAAAGAGCTTCATTCAGTCACTTAAAGTAAGTATGGTGTTTTTATCGTTGTCATCACATATGCATAAGAATGCTGCTGGCATGAGCCTGCATACTGCTGTCATTGCTCCAACGTGGCGTAATGCTCCTCTCCTTCTACAGACTACAGGAAACATCACTTATTCTCTCCTGTAATTAACTATTAATGCATTTCCCTGCAAAGACTCTTGCATCCACTGCCAAGATATGCAGTGTCAAAGTCTGCCAAAGTCTGCCACACCCTGCAGCAAACTCAGCTTGACAGCCTTAGTCTCAGAAGTCTGTTACGTGTCTCAACAACACTCCAATAGTAGAGTTTAATGTCACCTTTTATTCTTTAAGGTGCAAAAACACTTGGCACCACCAGGCTGCACACCTGTAACACTGGTCTGTATACCAGCTGTTGTTAAGGCGCTACTGCAGCCATACCACTGTGATAATAAAAGCAATAAAATATGATAATCATTACAAGTATTAACACCTGACAAGCAACTTCAGTAGTGTGAATGACTTTTGATACTGTAGGTCTGTTTACAACAGGTCGGTTTTGTAGACACAGGGCAGGATTGATTATGTAGTCTTTCAGCCCTTTGTGGTCACAGAACAGCTGAACGCAATTTTCATGATCTCTATATAATGTCATATAATATCATTATATGTGTTTATACCCCTATATATACACACACACTGTGTATAGGCCTGTGCTGTTAACATCCTATTTTTTGTGTTGCAATAAAATAAAAAGAAAGGACACACAACACACTCAGCATCGTGTGTGTGCAGTATAGGTAGCAGTAGTTGTTTTCACAATGACCTCAACCAGCATATGAGTCACAGAATCCACATGTAGCCACAAAACATAGGTGTGTCAGAGATTAAACCTCAGGTAATCAAAAGAAACTCAGACCTACTGAGAGGTACCTGATTATTTAAAGTCCACCATCAAATTGTCTTAATGTCTAAAAAGGTACCATGTAGGTCATTTTCTTCATGGTCAGTTTCAAAATTAATAAATTAATACAATAAAATTATACATTTTTCTGGTGAGATATAATAATCTATATCTATAATCTAAAAATATAATATAGATTATATAATCTATGGCTGTTACAATATGCACTCTACCCCATTCCAAGGGACGCGGGGCTCCCTGACCTGGATG